TGGCAAGTTTGCAAAAAATCCTTTGTTACTCTAAACGTTATTCACTCAAAGAACACTATATTATATTTATGTGCATTTTACATTGTTTTTCATGATACTTGTAGCCAAACATTATTTGTACACTGTGAAAAAATGGTCAAAAATGAGAATGAAATTGAGGATATTGAAGAACAAACTTTAAAAACTGTCTAAAATGTTACAATTATGTGTGATATGTAAAGAAACAAGCAAAACTTTAATCGAAACATATTCTGGCATTGTTTTCAAATGATGTAATTTACTGCCTTCAAACAATTATTTGTAAACCTGGCCAATCATAGAGCTGAATGAATACGTGACAATGGGGGGAATTCCCAGTCATAGTAGAGATCTTTTAACACAACACATAACAGCAGATGTTCCAATAGGCAGGTAATTGGGTGCCCTTAGTTTCCCACCTTGGTGGTCATTGTCCACACAAGCATTTGTTGGGTTAGTTGAGTTTCCCAACATGGTTAAAACTGATGAAATACACAATGCATTGAGAAAAAGAGTCATAAAATTTCACAATCAATATTCTAAATTTTATTTCAATTTTTCTCACAGTCAGAGGAAACACTCTTGAAGATGTACTGGGCATGTTTCATGAGTGGTGTAGGGGGTCCTGCTCTTGGATGATTAACATATGCTGAAAAGTTTTAGAAGAGTTGAAATACCCTTTTCTTTGCCGCTCCTGGTACCGCCCACTCCCCTGTAGACCAGGGGTGCTGGATGCAAATTTATATGTATTTGCATAGCATGAACTGCAAAAAAAAATGTGATAAAGACTAATATCCGTGCCATTCCATCCTCGATCGTGGTGGGATTCTAAAAATTAATCTTAATGAAAATCTGAATATTAAATGAGAAAAGTGATTTGATTTGTTCTTCTCTCGCAAGTTGTGGTCTAAAAGCAATAAGGCCACCACACATTATATCTACTTTAGCGGAAACACACTCCAACCATTAACAGCTCTCACCTTTTCTCAGCCCTGCTAAATTATGTTATACAGTCTAATACAGTCAAGCTTCATAAACTATGTTTGGTGACTTGTGCCATACATTTCACTCACTTTTATACCTCAGGCGCTTCTCAGGAGAGCCTGATTGTTTATTTTTTTCTTACCCAAATTGAAAAATCCTATTCTTGCTTAAATAAATACAGTTTTTCAATGTCCACCAACTTGCATAAAAAAAATTCTTCAATTATCAGGAACTGACCTAAAACAAAACCTGCATAAATAAGAAACGGCTATGTTGGTCTGAGACTTTCTTATTATGGTTGGTTAGTAAAACTTAGCAGCTGAATGCCCAAATGAGTTCAAATGAGAGTATATGAAAATGCGGCAGATATGGGCCACTCATTTTGTACTTGTCTGCCACCCATTTGGGCTTGCAATTTGGGAAGAGGTGGAGACACATTGTCTCAACATTCTATGTTGTAAATTGAACACTATAAGAGTTAATAAAGATTAACACTGTAAAAACAACACTCAAAGCACTCTGTAAAGTGTTAAAGGTAAGACTGAATGGTGTAGACCCATATAAACACCATGCAGTGTTAATTTAACACTGGTACATTTGCTGTGTACCCATCCCTAACCTTAACCATACGTAACCAACCCAAATACAAGACTTTTGGCATTTTTACTTTTTCGTTTGCATTCACAGATTTTTATAAAACTGAGGCTATGCAAATGGGGACCTCAAAAGAAGTCCCCGAAAGTAGGGAAATTTCAGGTTTTACTACACTTTGGGATCTATGCAAACCCACACACACACACACACACACACACAGACACTCCTCAACACGCTATGTACAATGGGTAGCACTTAACACTACACTTGACACAACAACACAGCACAATTACAAACCAACACAATAGCTACCGACAGCTATTTACAAAGCTGGCATCAGTCCAACCTCCCATGCTGCCCTCTGGTACCCCGGCGCTACAATATATATTATTCACAGACGCGCACCCATAAATAGAGAAATATGTGAAACAAAAAATTGTGCTGTGGTCTCTTAATTTTTTCCAGAGCTGTATATGGAAGCTGAGAACTGCCGTGCTTGCTATTGTTTTTTAATGCCGTTATCTCAAGATCTCATTTACTCACTTACATTAAATATGTAAACATTGGGGCACTACTTGGATCACTCTGCTGTCGTGGCATGCAGCAGAGAGGACGTGAAAGGAGAATTAATATGGTCAGCAAGTTTTATCGTCACCAGCCATTATTTTCTTTGTAGGAGTTCACATTACTGTAAATATGACTGGAAACCCCTGCTCTAGAATGTACACGTGCCATATTTATAATACAGAGAATAAAACTCAGGTCAGTTCATTCAGATCAGAGGACAGGAGGCATTACAGCGACATGTGGCAGCTGGCAGTAAGGAGCCAGAGAAGCTGCTTTGTGAAAACTGTACTTACTGGGACTTTACATGCATAAATGTAATGACAGGCATGGGGTGGCCAGAACAGCCATTCAGTTATGATTCATAAAGCCAAGAAGCAGGTGATCAAAGGAGTGGGGGCTGCCACTGAAATCGGTATGTTTATATTACTTTAAAAATGGGTGGAAGCAATACCAGACAAATGTCCTTTCTGACTGTGGGTCTGTCAGTTGAGGATGTACACACAGCATGTGAGACTGTATGTCTATGTGCCTGAGTGCCTGACTGAGACTCTTATGAACTCATCTCTGTGTTTGAAAAAGAACAAGTTAGGTTTTCAGGTTTAAAGGTTAAACTTTTAGATTTTCACATCTGCATTTCTTTTGAACTGCAAAAATATTTTGAGACCTGTTGGTTTTTATTATTGTACAATGGGAAATAAAAGGAAATCCATAGAAATATAGCTATGCGTAGTGTGTGTGTGTGTGTGTGTGTGTGTGTGGGTGGGTGTCTATGTGTGGATTAGGTTTAAAATCCTGTTTCTGGACATTGTGGGACCATCTTTCAGGTCCCCACAAAGATCTGTGAATGCAATCAAAAAAGTAAAAACACCATGGTTATAGTTAAGGTTAGGGCTGGGTAGGGCCTAGGGTGTCATGTTGTGATTAGAGTTTTCCCCATAGAAAACAATGGTGAGTCCCCACAAAGGTATGTGTGTATATGTGCTCAAATGTATGTTAAATGATCATCATCATAATCAATGTTTTCTGCAGCCCGTTGGATCAGCATGATGGGTTGTAATGTGTTTCTTCTGTTGAAACTTCTACTGATTTCAGGTCAGTTTCTTTCATATTGCACTTAAATTATAAAAAAGGGGCCCACAAATTTACATATTGATCAAATCTGCCAAAAGTCAGTCATATTATATGGGTCTTTCTTTGATGTTTGCAGGACCCTTGTGTTGCACTTGTTATACATGCCAGAGACGCAGCAACTAAATTTACATTTAAATTCAGACAAATCTGATTATTTACAATATGTATATGTCTTTGATAATAATGTATATCCATCAGCCTGTCAGTTCAAAGATGGACTTGCAAAAGCCTTTCCTCATCTTGTCAGATCAGGTTTATATTTTTCTATTTGTGATCATGTGTATCTGTTTCTCTCTGCCTGTGTGACTTTTTTTTACAGAGTTTCACAGCCACTGTTTATGCTTTTCGCATCAGTACTATTTTGTAAACATAAACCTGACCTGGACTGACGCCCAGGCTTACTGCAGAGAGAACTACACTGACTTGGCTACCATTGACAATATGGAGGAAATGAAAAGACTAACTGAGTCTGTAGACACTGATTATACTGGAGAGGCTTGGATAGGACTGATGAAAGGAACATCATGGAGATGGCAGTGGTCCTCAGGAGAAGGAGACACAGGGTACACCAACTGGGATACGGGTGCAACGTACAACCAGAATAATGGCCATTGCTGTGTTGGGATGCGAGACGACGGTTGTTGGAATAATGTTAATTGTTCATATCAGACACAGGTGGGGTATTTCATCTGCTATACCGGTGAGTAACATTAACCAGCTCTTTTTGACAAATGGAACATGCCTTTGAGAGTATACTATCCAGCCATGACTTACCCCATAGTAGCTTTTACAGGTAAAAAGGACTACAGCCTAAATGAGAGTCCATTCTGTTTTGGGTATTAGATTAGATGAGCTTTATTGATGCCAGAGGGAACTTCTTGTGCATTCTTTTATTTGGGACTTTGCCATCCTGCTCATTTGACCTCTGCCGGCCCCTGGAGGATGGGCTCCCCCTTTGAGTCTGGTTCCTCCCAAGGTTTCTTCCTTCTAGCGAGTTTTTCCTTGCCATTGTTGCCTCTGGCTTGCTCACTGGGGGCTTTGGGTGGGGATGCCGTGAAGCACTTTCAGACAATGTAATGTTGTGAAAACGCGCTATACAAAAAAATTTGAATTGAACAGCATACAGGAGCAAATAAGTAGATCGCATGCAGTGTGAAACAGACAAGGTGCAAAGACATTTCACCACGCACACAAGTAAATGTAGTTGAAAGAAACTCAAAAAGTACACAAGACACAAATAGAATCCTGAAAAAAATAATAAACTATGGTAATGTGCAATTAAACTATGGAATTAAATAAACAGACAGAACCAGCCTTTTTCTATTGCCAAGATGGCTGCTTCCTGACGTGTCATTGCTGGGGTGGGGAGTGACACATAGGGAGGAGGCGCTGTAGTGCCTGGTGGGAGCAGGTAGAAAGGATCCCTAGTAGCACTTCTTGACACACCATGGTGGAATGAGCCAGTGCTATATGTGCTCCAGAATAGCGCCCCCTGAAGCCAATGGGCAGAATTGTTCATAATATTCCAGTTTTGCTAACATTCTCTTCTTTGCTACTGTCTCCAATGGCTCCAGAGTCAGTCCTCTGATGAACCTGGCCTTCCTGATGAGTCTGTTCAGATGTTTGGTATTATCTGAACTGATAGTACTTACCCAGCAAACCACTGTGTAGAAAAGCACACTGGCCACTACGAACTGATAAAACATACACAGCAACTTGGCAAACATATTCAAAAAAATCAGAGCCTCCTCGGAAAGTAGAGTCTGTTCTGGTCTTTCTTGTACATCACTGCTTGGTAGGCAAACTGCAGGGGATCCAGGTGGTCTGTTACCAGGGGTCAAAGCTATTTTTGCCCCATCCTGTCAAAGTTCTTAAAGATATGTGAGCTGGAGTGCCTCTTCGTTGGAAAGGGGACCACACAGGATGTCTCCTAGAGTTGGGGGACCTTTTGCAGACTCAGGGAGAGGGGTGAACAGGTCGTCTTCGATCCTGCAGAACCTGCTGGCACATGTGTAGAAAAGCACACTGGCCACTATAGACTGATAAAAAATACACAGCAGCCACACATATTAAAAAAACCTGAGCCTCCTCAGAAAGTAGAGTCTGCTCTGGCCATTCTTGTACAGAGCTGCTGTGTTGTCCGCCCAGTCCAGTCTTCCATTCAGGTCTTCCCCCAGGTCTTCTACCCCTGCATCACCTCCATTTCCTCACCCTGGAGGGTGACTGGTGTCAGTACCTCAACTGGCCTACTGAGGCTGGCAGTTACAGGGGAGGGCAGAATCAAAGAGAATCAATTCTGTTGAAAATGAGAATCGGCTCACTAGCCCAGTCCCTCCCCCCTTCCACTACAATGTTACCAGCGTGCTTGTAGCCGGTGATGGTCCTCATCACATTCCACACTTACTTTGTGCTGTTTAATTGTAGCTTATGCTACAGCTTCTCCCTGTGGCAGTGTTTCTCCTGGCAGAGTTGAATCTTCAGTTACGCCTGCACCTGTTTAAGTTCTTCCTTGTCTCCAGCTCTGAAGGCCCTCTTCTCATTAAGAAGGTCTTTTGTGATCCATGGTATGCTTTTGGGAAAACAGTGCACTGATTTTATGGGAACTGTGTTGTCCACACAGGAGCGGATGTAGTCCTTGATACAGTGGCTGTATCCCTTAATGTCCTCCCCATATGACTCATATATCATGTCCCAGTCTATTTATTTTAAGCCGTCCTGCAGAGCCTCCTGCAGCCTCTTTCATCCATTTTCTTATGGTCCTAGTGGTGACTGGTGGAACTGCTGGTGTGTAGTTTGGTGTAAGGTACACCATGTTGTTATCAGAGCTGCCCAGGGGTGGTAGCCTGACTGACCTGTATGCCTCCCTCAGGCAGATAACAAGTCCAGAGTCCTGGTTCCCCTGGTGGTGCAGCCCACAGACTGATGAAAGCTGGGGAGGCTGGAGGAGAATGAAACATGGTTGAAATCACCAGAAATTGCAATATGAGCAGTGAGGTGGTTAGTGGTTAGTTTGCTATCCACAGAATATATTTCATCTGTGGCTAGTAGAGTGTCTGCCAATGGGGGCACGTATAAGAGCAAAAGAACGGCATGTAGAAACTCCCCTGGCATGTAATATGGCCACAGTCCCACAGCGAGAAGCTCCATGTTTGGGTCACAAACCTGTGCTTTAATTGTAATGTGTTCAGGGTTGCCACCATTTCTCCTTTACAGAAACATTACTTCCATCTCCCCTCTTCTTACCGCTGTTGCTCCTATCAGCACAAATGATGTTATAGTTGCCTATTAGGACTATGGAGTACAGAGTGCTGGTTCTCAGCCAGGCTTTCATGAAGCACATGAGGCTGCAGTATTTGTAGCACTCATACAGTAGCAACTGGTCAGCGCTGAGAGTCAGTCCATCTTGTATTTCAGTGACCTTACATTGCCCATGATAGATGTCAGGAAAGGTTTTTACCTTCTGCCTCTTTTCCACAGCTGAGTTCCAGCTTTCTTCCCCGTTGGTATCACACCAGTTCTGCCAGCAGTTTGTCCAGCATCGCTGGCTTTGGTGGGAATGGGGGGTGCAGGTCCAGCAGGCCATGATGCGTATATGTGAAAGGTGCCGTCTGTGATTGAAATAAACCGGCAGATGGCTATAGAAGTAGGAAAACATTGCTGTTCCATGGCATGGTAGTCGCAGATTTATTTTAAAAGATGCAAAAAAAACAAACTTACAATAGTAAAAAAACGAAGAAAACAAAGAAACACATGGGAAGTGTAGCAGGCAGCCACTCAAGGCATTGCATACAGATTATGGCGAAGGTTGATTGTCAATGGCTTTGCCCTGCAGATATCCCCAAAAGGCAGCGAAACGAGTAAATGCAGAATCGCTTATAGATTTACACTGATCAACCATGAGTGCCACCTGACTGGCTATAATATATAGATGCCAAAGCCAGCCTCCCATTTTAGAATCTGGGAAATTCAAAGTTGATGTGCATTTAATAGGATAAATATTGTGCCAGCATAAGAATTGATATTCTCATATGAATTGCTAGGTTTTAAATTAAAAACAGTAAGCATGTAGTTTTGATATTTCAATTGAAATGTCAGAGTGAGATTTATTCAGCAAAGGCTGGTGTGTGACTCAGTGGGTTTGGACACTGTACCTGTGATCAGAAGGTCACTGTTTCAGCTCCCAGAATGATGGCAGAATAATTTCACCACTTCGTCCCTGAACAAGGCATTTAATCCCCAATTAATCTAGACTGTCAGATCCGGCTCTTTCAAAAAATGTATATGTAACTTTGGATAAAACTATCTTCCAAATAGGTTACTTGTAATTGATTTCTGGTTTGTTTCTGTTTCTTATGATGTTTGCAACAAATCCACAGCTCCCACCTATGAAGACAGAATAAATGTTACCTGGAACTTCACCTTCATTGACCAACATATGAATTGGTTTGATGCTCAGAGCTACTGCAGATACAGTTACACAGACCTGGCCACTGTGAGGAATAAAGAAGATAATGACTTGATACATAAGATGGTTACAAATGGCACTTGGGTGTGGATTGGCCTGTTCCAGGACACATGGGAATGGTCAGACCTGTCAAACTCCTCATTCCGTAATTGGAAAATTGGTCAAAATGATAATGAGAATAACACATGTGCTTTAGCACAGGTCACCTGGCCTGGGACATGGGATATGACACCATGTGATGAAAAGCATCCATTCATATGCTATGATGGTGAGTAATGTAACTTTTCTGTGACCAGTGGCCAATTCTCACCTTTATCTAACAACTTTAATTTATGTTACTATGAAAAAATACTGCACATATAAAAGTATAGTGTTATAAGTACACATAACACTGCACAGTTGCATCAGAAAGTTATTTTGTCTTCACACTTTTGTGAATTTCACTCCCTCTTATGGTAATAAATTCCTTTCTCAAAGTTTCCAAATGTCACATGACTTTCTCCTGAACCGGTTTTCTGACAATCATCTTACCTTCTGCTCTAGATTGCCTGATTTTGGTAAACAGAACCATGACCTGGAATGAAACCCTGAATTACTGCAGAACACACTATTTTGACCTGGCCTCTGTCCACAACGAGGAGATACAGCAGTGGGTCAGTAGGATGGCTGAGAAGGCCTCCACTGATCAGGTCTGGCTGGGGCTGCGCTTCTCCTGCTCCCCGAACTTCTGGTTCTGGGTCAGTGCAGAAAATGTCAGCTATCAGACCTGGTCCCCAAACAACATATCCAGCAGTAACATGTGTGAAACCACAGGGGCAGTACAATCTGGAAACCCAGATTATTGGGTCAGTCTGCCTGATACGGAGGAGCTCAGCTTCATGTGTTCCATATGTCCAGGTAATGCACAGTACCTGCAGAATAAAAACGTGGAAAACTACAAAGTTGCATCAGAATCTCATTTTGCTTGTGCATTTCACTCCCTCTACCCTTCTCATGACAAACTCTTTTTTCCAAATTCTAAATAATAATAATGCACAACTTTCCATATTTAGTAATTTAATTTGTTTTCTAAAATCAATTTGGGAGGTGAAAATTTATCTATTCATCCTTTGTCTATATGTGCTTGTTCTATGCAGATTCACAGGGGAACATAGCCGAACCTGCACAAGGTGAGCCGAACAAATACGCAGCATGTCTATTCTGTTTTACATACGTAGTTCTGTGTTCACCCAGAGGCATTCCAGAACATTCTGTTTATTATAGTAGATACTCTCACTATCAGAGGCACAAAGAATCATTTTAAAAGGGATAGAAAAACAGAAACCCTTCAGACTCATAGAGACCAGGTAATGGCCTTTATAGGCATTTTTAACCATCATCTTTTAAGCTTCTTTAAATATACATTGAAATTTTCCAAAAAATCTTCTTAGGAATATGAAGATCTTAGATTATCATTTATTTTGCACCTTTACACATAGTATTATATTTAAAAAATAATACAGAATAAGTTACCGTTAAAACATCTTTATCAGCATATATGGAATTTTTGACAAGTTTGCAAAAAATCCTTTGTTACTCTAAATGTTACTCACTCCAAAGAACACTATGTTATATTTATGTGCATTTTACATGAATTGTTTCTCATGATACATGTAGCCAAGCATTATCTGTATACAGTGAAAAAATGGTCAAAACAGGAAATGAAATTGAGGATATTGAAGAACAAACTTTATAAACTGTCTAAAATGTTACAAATTTGTGTGCTATGTAAAGAAAAAAACAAAACTTCAATCCAAACATATTCTGGCATTGTTTTCAAATGATGTA